TGAATCAATACAGCGACCAGGAAGTCCGAGAAGCTTTGGCGCGTGTCCACCTCATCCCCTCCGGAAGCAGCACGCCACTGTTGAAGGACGACCAGGGTAATCACTCTGGTGCTAGTTCCACCATTGCTGCTTCCGAGCAGATCGGAAACACCAACATATTCCAGTCCTTATCCTCGCCTGTTGCTTCGGGCGGGTCGAACCTATCACAGGGGCAGAAGCAGCTGCTTTGTCTGGCGCGCGCTATTCTATCCCGCCCCAAGATCCTCATTCTCGATGAGGCTACCTCCGCGGTGGATATGGAGACTGATATCCTGATCCAGCGATCCATTCGGGAGGCATTCACGAATACCACGCTGCTGGTGATTGCTCACCGTCTCAGTACAGTGGCCGACTTTGACCGCATTCTGGTCATGAAGGATGGTATTGCTGCGGAGTTCGGAAGCCCTGCAGAATTGGTAGAGACAGAGGATGGCATCTTCCAGGATATGGTCAATAAAAGTGGGGAGACTGAGGAGTTGAGACGGATGATTTTGGGGTCATAAACCATGAGCATTAACGTTTAGATTGTTGATGCTTGCCGCTCCTTAGATCTTGTCGCGCATTTAGTAAGCTACCATTGAAGTTCTTGTTTGCATTAACAAAAAGAAAGATTTCCAATTACAGTTTCAAGTTACTTGGCCTAGTAGATCCTGCTGTGAATTGTGTCACTAATCCGAATACATTACCCCAAAAATCATCGCATTTACATCTTAGTTGTAATTGGAGTCCACAAATGTAGCAATCAACACATCTTCACCCACGGCTTAGCTACTTGCACGTCTCCCCTCCACCCTAGGAACAAACTTCAAGTACAGCGACGGGAGCAGAGCACCTATGTACTCCTTTGTTCCTTCAACGAACTTATCCTCATCATACTGATCCCCTGGCAAGATGTTGAATTCATGAATAGTCTTCGCGATAAGAATCTTCAACTCATTCGTAACCAGCTGCTTCCCGACGCAAGAGTGCACGCCATAGCCAAAGGGAGTGAAGGCTCGACGATCGCGAACCAGCTCCGGCATTTCCCCAGTCCAGCGCTCTGGGATAAAGCGATCCCCCTTAGGGAACCATCGAGAGTCAGTCAACGTAATCCGAAAGGGAACTTTTACCTCGACGTTCCCAGGAATATACGTCTCCCCAAACTGAAGACCACCAGGGGGTGTCTTCACGGGTATCCCGATAGGAGCTGGGTTCCCTAGTCTGAGACCCTCGTTTAGGACTCCATTGAGATAGGGAAGCTTGCGGGTTGATTCGACTGTCAATTCTCCGCCTGTATTCGATATGGTATCTAGTTCCGCTCTGAGCTTCGCTTGCACTGCTGGGTTTGTGGCTAGAAAGCGCAGCGTTTGGTTCATTGTGACCAATGCCGTGTCGGAACCGCCGATCACTGCTACCTGGGCATTCGAGATGACTTCCTCATGGGTACGTTGCCATCCTGCTGGGCCACTGGTAATGAAATGGTGGATAAAATCTTTCTGGGGCGCTGCCTTCATCCGCCTTTCACCTATTATCTCTTCAATTTCTCTTTTGAATGCTTTCGCTTCTGGTGCACTTGGCAAACAGGAGAGAATCTCGCCGACGTTCCGCAGACAGGCGATGACCTAGATATGTCTTAGCATTGAATAGACGTGATATTCTGAAAAGAAGCCATGTCACTGACCCCAGATATGCCCAGATACTTATGAACAAAGTATGAAAGGAAGGTATTTTTTCCGTGATCTTGACCTTTACTATCCTTTGAGAAAAACACATCCATCATACTACTCGATGTCAGTCATGGAGTATGTTATACTTGCAGTTGACAGCACTCACACATCAACCTGGAAGCGCTCAGTTAGCTTGATCGTATTGACCTCTATTCCCTCATAATTCTTAAGCAACCGAAGAAACTTCTCAACATGATGTTGCAAGCGACCGTCGTAATTCACAAGCTCTTTGGCAGAAAGCGCTTTCTCCCTGGTACTGTTAGCACCACGACCACCACTGACCTATGCACAACGATCGATTACCATAATCGCCTCCACTCTCCATGATGTGTATAATCCCGTTCAGAATTCAAGTTCCTCTCGCCCATGCTAGCACGAAGCTCGTAGAAATACCCACGCGGGTATTGTCCCTTATATATCTTCTGAATAGCCTCGACATCTATAATCGACACCTCGTTTGGCCCGACACGAACAATGTCCGCATTGTACTTCCTATGAGTTTCCTCCAGATAGGCGGCAGAGCGCCCTAAGCGACATTGATTGGCTGCCCATAGTCCGGATACTGCTGCACGCTTGGGTCCGGGTAGGGAGGCGAGCGGGGATAAGTATAGCCGATGGATCACTGTCCATACTATTGCTGTAGAGAGGAAGACGAGGTTGAGCCAAGCGATACTGGGTGGTGGAGGGGTGTCTGCTGAAATGCTGGCTCTCGGTGACCAGGCTACAGCTGCAAGGTTCACGAGAATGTAGGTGCTTAGTATCTTTATAGTTGAGACTTCTGGGATCGGAGATAAGAAGATCTGTAGGGTTATAGCTGCCACTGCTGTTACAAGTTCCGCGGTCGCCATTGTGAGCTTATTGAAGCGTGGTTTCTACGTGGTCTGTCAATCTTCCTTTAATCGACATGCAATATAAGCCTGCTCAGAATTGGAGGAATCCATCTTTCACTTCCTTCTATTTATCGTGGATAGCGGAAGCTGGACGCATCAATAAGAACCCATGACCTTCACAGTGTAACGTCCAATTTATTGAGTGGAACATGAAAAGGTAAGGGCCTGTCCTGATGACTAAATTTTGTGCTATCACAACTGTTGTCCCTTGCTTTGCTTATTATCACGAGTCAAGCCATTTCCTGAAATCTTGGTGATATAACTTCTCTACTCAGATTATTCTGGATCGATCGTCGAGGCACAACAGAGTCAATATCAGATTACCACAATATTTCTTGGCAGATGTAAAATCTATATACAAAATAGTTCCGATCTTGGTACGTTCTCATTGGCCTACCTTCTCACTAGCCAATCAACCGGGTTGCACAGACGTATGCCTGATGCTCTATCAGGAAATTCTGAATAGCCCCCCTTGCGGTTCTAGGCTGAATGAGGAATGAATACCCCGCGTATCAGACCCCGGTCTGAATTTCATACACCAAATTATACTTTATTCAAGATATGTACCTCGTTCAATCTGAAAGATTTTCATGTACTCCTGCCATTTACACACACTGATGGAATATCATGTAATAGTGACAACTCAGCATATGACGTCTTTCCAGTACTGAAACAAGCACCTGACCTAATCGAAGGTCAATCTTCGATTCTGAAAATTGATAAGCTTCACTATTGAGTTCAACCTCGAGAATCCTACAGGGTTAGCCCCTGATACTATTCTCCTTATCACGCATTAGATAATGGAGAAGATCAAAGATATCTCCGATCCTGACCGACATACCTTAATTAGGTGGCCAACATAAATCACACCATGTGCTCGCCTTTGCTCTCTTCAGTTCTGCTCTCTTGGGGGTTATCCTCTAATTTACAACATGAAGATCGACTTTTTCTCAGCTCTTTCTAGGCCCGAATACGAGTGCCTAGAATTTCATGATGAATTTAAACTCAGTAATCAACAAAGAAATGAAGTATTTGAATGTGTACGCAAATGTCTGTTCCTATTGCTTGAGGGAATAGGACATCAGCAACAGATCATACCAGCTGACGAACGTCTACGACATGACCTCGATAATTGGGTCCAAGAGCATCTGATACATCTATTCCCAGAGAAGCTTCAAGCTCTGAAAGTTTTAGTTGACACTTCTGCGCAAGTCGGGGAATGTTTCTACGCTCATTGCTCGCATGAGACAAAGCTAGTTATGGCCATCACTACTCTCATCCTGTTCGCAAGCGATGACGACACTCTCCTCAGTCCTGAAGAGCGCAACCGCTTATCCTCCTTTTCCTGTAATGACGGCTACAGTCCTCCGGATGCTAGCCCTTGGACAGCGGTCCTTACGCACGGGCTACAATTAGGTGCCGAATACTTCGGGTCTAAAGACCCCTTGGTCGGGAGCCTTTCAGCAAATGCGATCCGCGGGTTCACGGAGGCATGTACCATGGAATACCGCATGGAGCAGGGGGACTTGCCCCTCCATCTTACAGCCCACAGAAAGCCACATCCAAGCTCCGAGTGGTGTGCGGCCGAAGCGTTCCCGGGGTACCTTCGTTCAATGAGTGGCATCTCGTTTCACTATATCCCGCCGATATTCAAGTATTCTCGCACCGAGGAGGTCCCTTCTTCTTACTGGTTAGGAGTGGCTCCCGTCGTGAGGAACTTCATTGATTACACAAACGATCTGCTTTCTTACCCGAAGGAAGTCCTCGATGGTGAGATACGAAACTACCTTCTGCTAGCTACGAGGGCCAGGAGAGTAGCCGGCAGATCGTCCAGGTTTGGCTCGAAATCATGGACTTTCCGAGACACCTTCTGCGAAACACTCGAAAATGTGCAAAACATTGTTTTGGCTTTGGATAAGGCTGTCACAAGTTACATGCCCGCCGATAACAATGCACCGGAGGATGGTAACAAGACTCAAGATGATCCCAATGCGCAGCTGGCTGCAAAGTGCTGGTTCTCTTTCCGACAGAACTTCATCTCCTTTCATCTGGAGTCCAAGAGGTACGGATTAGATCGTCTTGCTTTCGAGAGGAATAACTACACTGTTGAAGAGCTGTGTGCACCAAAGCACAAGCCTATGCATTCTGCTTGTGTAGGCGCGGCGGCTGCTGGCTTTTTTCTAATTTCTGCGTTGGGCTATCGTTATTCCCGCAAGTAAAACGTGCCTTTTAGTATTTTCTATACGCTGCGATGCAATTTCTCTTGAGATTGAGTCATACTCATTATCTTAGATTCACATGTTGAACCTTTGGATTTCAATCATTCTTGATAATAACAGAAGAACATAATTGATCTAGTAACTGATCACAGAAAATAGCCTATAACCATACCCACAAAAGGGAACCAAGTCCATACTGCACTCCTGGACGCAGAACCGGTGTATTGCGCTGAGACAACCGTAGATGTACCAGACGTATACGCAGAAGCAGTGTGACTTCCAGCAACGCTTCCAAGGGTAGGGCGATTGAGCCCGAGGCTAGGAGACGCGACACCCAAAGAATGAGATCCATTGCTCCAAGAGCTAACGTTAAGACTGCTGTTGGCAACTGATCCGACACTGGAAATAGTCGATGGCGGGACGTGAAGGGATGGTCCAGGACTACCGGCTGTGCCAGGGTGAGTGGAGTCATCATTGCTGGATGATGGGGAGGAAGAACCCTCTCCGGTTGATCCTTGAGACTCGGCACTGACCCCGATTTGGCCGTCTGCGTCAGCACCGGGTCCGATGGTAGATTCACCCGTCACCCCTTGCTGGGGACTGTGTGGTCCGACTAATGCCGAGTTTGTTTTGCTGGTAGGGGAAAATTGCTGTATTTCGCTAGCAGTGGGGGTCATGGTTGTGGTTATCGGAACGATGGCCGTGGTGAGGTGGGTTTCCGTTCCCCTTGTGATCGTGAATACCTCTGTTGTGTAGAGAACGGCTGTAATGGTGGGTACAGAGGATTCTTCTCCAGAAGGAGCACCTAAATTGCCTGCAGGTGTTTCAACAGCTGCTGATGTGATGACAGTAACTGAAGCTACTGCAGTTTCTGTCGTGAGATACGTCGTTCGCTCTGTATCAGCACAGGTAGCGGAAGACGATGGACAAGCTGTGATCGGGTAGACATGGGTTGTGTAGACAGTCGATGTACTGAGTCTTTCACTACTCTGTCCGATAGGTCCTCCCCCGATAGCTGTCGATTGGCCGGAGGCATGTATGCCCGTTTCCTCTGCAGCAACTGGGCAAATAGTCGTGTATGCAGCAATTGTTTCTGTCGTGTAGTAAGTGGTCTTCTCAGATGCTGCGCAATGCGGGCTTCCTTGTGGACAACCAATCGTGGTATGCACCTTAGTAGTAAAAATCGTGGATATAGTGAGAGCCTGAGGCGGTTCAGTAGCTACTCCCCCATTGCTGGATGTCTGTGTCGGGATGGCATATGCATCATTTGTTTCTGAAGAAACAGGGCAGATAGTAGTATAGATGGGGACAATCTCCGTTGTGTAGCTGGTTGTCTTTTCTGAGGCAGGACAGTTCGAGACCCACGGAGGGCAGGCGGTAATAGTGTACACCTTTGTGGTGAAGACAGTTGAAGTCGTCATCCTTGTTGCGGCAGGGGAGGTAACATTTGCTGATTGTAGAGTGGAAGCCGTTTTGGTAGCCTTCAGAGGACATATCGTAGTGACTGAGGTACGGGTCTCGGTTGTAAAAATGGTCGTAGTGCGCCGGGCTGACGTAGGGATACTCTGACTGGAAACAGTGGGAACGTTGCTAGTAGAGCTTTGAGAAATAGGGGAAGGAAAAACAAGCGGCATTGAGGCAGATGATGAACGGAATATTGGAGAAGAAGACGACTGTGCAGGTAGAAGTACGGAGGAACTTCTCGGAGGGACGGATACTGGGACAGTGGAGTATATTGCAGAGGGCACGAGAGAAGGAGAGCTCCGGAAGTTTGAGACCGGGGACGTCTTTAATAAAGGGACCGATGAAGTAAGAGAGTTCGATGTCACGGGAGACGGAGAGGCGTTTGAAAGAGTGGAAGGTGAAGCAATTAATGCAGATGGCATGACTGGCGTAGATTTATCTATGGGTCTTGATGAAGCCAATATGGCCGATGAGGACGCAATTGTCGACGAGGATAGGATTGCCGAAGCTGAGGTTGTAACGGCAGTAGAAGCCGCAACTGCACAAGGATTGTCATCTAGCCGAAGAGCAATATAGTCGACAACATTGTTATCTGGGTCACTGTAGTCGTACGGCACGTAGGAATAGTCGATAGCACCACTTTCCGAGTAACAGATTCCCAGAAACCAGAATGTTCCTATACAGTTCGAATAGGTAGAGCAGACCTCAATACAGCCCCAGATGTCGGCTTGTCTGGAGTTAGGGAGAAAGCCTGAATAGCCCTGCACGGTATCGCTGCAAAGCACTTGGTAGTATTCCTCATTGTATACATAGTATCCGTCGACGCAATCTGTGGTGGTAGGAAGAGCTGAAACAGTGCACGTTGAAGCCGTTGATGTTGACACACTCGAGATGTATGCTGATGTGGCAACACTGGATGTAGCGCTAGTGGAAGCGACAGCGGCACTAGTCGACAATGTAATTGTGGATGTGTAAGTTGTTGTATATTCCATCACCGTTATCTCGGTTGAAAGCTGGGTAGAAGCGCCTGTTACGGTGACGACGCAAGGGTTGGTTGAAAAACGTTCAATTGCGGCCCAATGAGACGAAGTCACTTCCACTGTAGACGTGATGTCTGTGAGCAGCACACACTCATCATTATCATCCCAATTGAGACCTTGGCAGCTCGAATAGATGCCACAAAACACGAAGCATTCGTAAGGGCTGGTTGCTCCATGAATGGTCATAAATGATGCTCCTTCCAAAGATGAATCTGAGCACCATTCTTGCCAGTAGGAACCTTCCGCCGACCATATCGAATTGGTACATGACTCTGGAGCAACACTACCAGGAGTACATGTGGTCTCAACGGTCGTCACTGGGAGAACCCCTGTAATAGTGCTGGTCACCGTATCGGAGTAAGTAGACGTTACAGTAAAAACCGAAGTGGGTGCGACTGTAACCACCGGGATTGTGGCTGCGAATCCTTGGATTGCTAGTGCTCCCATGTATGGTAGCCATTTTGTTGTCAACAATTGCCCCATGATAGAGGTCTTTATAAATGAGCGACTGAAGCAAAGTGATCAAATGAATGAGGGGTAGAAGTCGACGAAGCTCCTACTGCTGACCCATTGGAAAAACCGAAACAAAGACGTGAGCTGATGGACGAACTAAAGCAGGAGGAATAGCCAGGTTTTTGAACCTCGAAAACGTAGATATACCTGCTGGCGCTCTACGCCACTGGGGCCTTCTAGCCGAGAAGTACTGGTTATTATTGGTAGGCTTTCCATATACTATCCACTAGCGCTTGCTAGCCGCGGGTTCGCCCGGGAAATTATAGGCGATAACGAGGGCTGAGGCTGACCAGCATCAACAGAGCAGTGGATCCATCCCCTGGTCTAATAAAGGCAGGATAAAAGAGCCGACGACTAGAGTCATACGATTGGATAACTTCAACGCATGTCCAGCAGCCTATCAAACTTTTTATTCTATCTTCTAGGTCCACCCCCTATCCTCACTGTTCTAGTTGTGTTCTGATGACATTTGGAATTTCCAAACTTGCTCTTCTTGGCCGGAAGTATTTATGCTCAAGCTTCTCCATCACAATGGTCCCGGGACTGAATTTAGGGCTCCGAGATTGTGGATGTTCGATAGCGACACGACGTCTTCTCCATCATAGCCACCCGCGGCAACGGACTAATTCAAATGGTCAGATATTCGAGGGGTTGTTGACTTGTTTTGATTTTTTAGGAGAGTTTCTCTTCTGGAAAACCGCCTCTGTTTTTGATAGGCAGACTGTAGTTGAGCTGGTCTAGACTTGCGCTGCGAGCATTTCAATATTTTCAATAGACAACCCGCCGTCACGGCCTCAGATGCTTCTCTGAATATCATTTCTTTCGTTGGCTGGAGGTGACAGGCGTATTTCTCGCACACAACACTTCTGAGAAAGGCGTCTGTGTCTTGTAGCAATGGAAGTCTGGGACAAGTGCTCTTTGACGTTCGTATCCCATGCCTCTGTCCCATATAGTCATCAATAGCACGATATGGTATCACATCCTCATCCTTGTTTGGGACCTCTGTTATTGCAGAAAGTGTCGTCTAGCGACACTACACTGGGGGGAAAAAGAGAAAAAAGAAGTGAAACATCACTTGAGATACTCGCGCGGATTGGCGTGCACAACACGCGAGTTGTGATTTTCGTAGAATGGGATCTCCGCACCATATCCAGTAACCCGATGCAGTTCGGCTAACTGCACAGCCACGGATCTATCCTCTTGGGGCCATCGGATAAGGTGCCAATTTCCCCTCTGCCTTCGGAGCACATATACGGGAAGAACGGTCTGATCCTTGTGCGCCGTATCGTAGTTGTAGTTGTCGCGATTGACATCGACGTTGAAATACGATTACCCCATACTTGGATAGCGAGAAACAAGATACGGTTGTCCTGTTTCCAGTCGGGAAAAACTTCACCGACAATTCTGTAAGCGGTGGTCCGGCAGTCCTCCGATCCTTCTGATTTCATTCGGATGATGATGCGTTTTGCATTGATTTTGAGTATCTCATCGCGGATATCAGGAAGATTGGACATGGTCCTTACGCTAAGATGACGTAAACATTGTTTGATTCTGGAAACAGGATGCAAGTGAAAGTGAGAAGAATAACGTAAAAGAAACGGAGATAAAAGCAAACCGCTCATTTATACCTCAGACATCCAAATGTTAATGGCGGTGACAGAACCCTTCCATTACTACAACCTAGGCGATCTAATACACCGTCTTTCTACTAGCGTCTACGCCTCGCGTGCATGGATATACATTCCCCATAATCACAAACGTAGTTTTTAAGGATCGCTCGTGAGAATCATCTAATACAGGGCCTTGCACTCAAAATTGGCCGCATCATCAATGTCTCCTGAACCCACATACTGAGCCAGCTTGGGATACGCGCATATCGGCCGTTGTTTGTCGATAGTGTTCGAGGTATACTCAACACTACTATTGAAGCGAGATCCGATGATATAGTCGGGTGCAGTACCATTCTCAACCCAGTTGATCAAAGCCAGGAAAATATCGTGCTTAGCATCTTGGTAGCCCGGTACACTGTAAAGGGACGAGCTCAGCGTGCTCGCCTGCGTGGGTCCGGCGATATACCACGGTGCACCCATTGTGGATGGTGTGTGGTAGCAATGTCTGGATTTGTTAGCTTGTGATCCCATGTTGGTCCTGTATAAACTTACTCCATGCCAGGTATAGCGAAGAAGCGATAGAAGTCATCGATATCAATACCCTGGGGCGCTAGCGTGGCAGCCATGTGGTCGCGGTAATAGAGGCCGATACCGGGGGGTACAATGGCGTCGGAATGACCATGGTAGTGGATGAGCTTCCCTCCGTGGTGGTAGAACTCGGCCAGATCATAGTTGTCAGCGGACGAATCGCCTGGATCGGTCTGATCGGCGTATTGCACCACGCTATAATCGAAGTCTTGTACAGTGAAGTTGGCGAGGCCGAGGATATGTTGAGGATACCACAGCTGCGAGTCTTCGTTGCCGGCGCTGCCGTTGCCGATGACGCCGCTCTCATTCCACATTGCTTCGCTTCCGTATAGCGGATGTGTGTACACGAAAGTCTGATTGGTTTCCACCCAGTCGTTGTAGATCTTATGCAGTGTCTCTATTTGAGGTCCTGTCAAGCAACTGGTGTTTTTTGCCTCAGTACAGAGTAATGGCAGGTAGTCGAAATGACAGCCTAGTGGATCGGAAATGATGTTGTCGACCAGTCCGTCCTGAGGATCGCACTGACGAATTGCCTCTGCTCCAATGACGGCAAACATCTCCATTGGGATTGTATGAGCCGATCCCTGAGGTGCCTGATAGGTCGTCTGCTTAAGATTGTACAGCTGCTGGTGGGTCGTCCACCATGCCGGGCAGGCCGCAATCACTCCGTCATAGTCCCGTGGAAACTTCTGTGTCTCTTTCATGGCCTGGCGCCCACCAGTGGAGCAGCCGGCGAAGTAGCTATATTTGGGCTTTTGGCCATAAAAGCTCTCGACGAGGAACTTGCCCAGTACACTAGTGAGGTGGTTGGCACGCCAGGCCCAGTCGTTGATCGACTCTGGGTTCTTCCACCAGACTCCATCCATGTCGGAGCCCGTGTGACCCGTGTCAGTGGCTACAGAGGCGAAGCCATAACGCAGTCCAACGGCCTGGTGATGAAGATAAGTCTTTAACTCAATTGGAACTAAAGTAAGATCTGATACATACCATATCAACCCAATTGATATCTTCACCTTCCTGCGCAGCATGGCTATATACTTTTAGTCAATGCCGGGTGTCCTCTGGGAAGGGTTAGAGTCGCTTACAAGAACCTTTCATTCCACGTATCAGGCAGGAAGACGCCAAAGCTGAAGTGGGTGTCGACATCCGTCGTCGCATTGACCTGGATTGCACACGCTGCTGGCAATTGAGTGGGATTGGTGGCGGAGCTGATGTTGGGATTCACGAAAGTCGAATTCTCTACATAGTGACGGGCGTAAACTACACGCGCGGCGGTACCATTGGCGTCCAAGAAAGCTTGAAAAGACTCAATGGAACAGTCATTACTACCCAAGGCGACTGAGAAGAATGTGAAAAACGAAGTGACAAGATGCAGGAACCGGAGTGTCATAGCCATTACTCATGTAATAACCAAGCTTTCAGATGATCGATGGTTGGGGATTATCACCATTAGTCGAGCAATTTATATATCCGGTTCTCCTCGCTGTGGCTACACTTTATTGCTCGTTGTTGTTATTCCGACTAATATATCGGCCCATTCCCGAATTGCGGGGATACGCGGGGGAAATTCTGCAGGACGGAAACGAATGCATGATCCTGTTGGATGTTTGCCCGCAAAATGAGGGCCTCTGCGGCCGCCAACTTGCGGAGTCTTTCCCTCATTGGGGTTCACAGATCAAATGTGCGGGCGTGGACAAGATATAAGGCAACAATTGGGACGGGAAAGCAACAGGTGTTAGACATCTTAACCCACAACAATCACTGCAGAATGAGGCATTCCCCGCTCAAGATGGCTGCCATGGCGTCACTGCTACTGCTGGTTCTCCCGGCTGTGGCTAAAGCTTCATCCGCTCCCACAACCCTCTTGTTTGAGAATGACGGAAACTGGACTGCTCATGCAGAGCGACCAAGTGCTCTTCTAGTGCATACACCTGCCCGGCGTGGTCAGGCAGAAGCAATCTGTGCTACCCATGAGGAGCAATTGCTGAGCTGCGATGACGTGCACCATTTCCGCCAGTCCTTCCAGTACCAGCAGTATCTGGGTACTCTGACTGAGGAGACGCTGCTCTGGACTGCTTGCAGCACACCAGTCACACTGTCTGGTATCTCTCCCGCCAGAAATGTATCTTCGGATGGAGAGTGGCCTTTTGTCTGCACAAACTCGGCTCCACTGGTTGACCGTGTCGACACCGATTACTCACCCTTCCCTCGGGTCAATACGACGGCAGGAAACATCACCTTCGAAGGTCTCCGTGATCATTTGACATTTAGATTTGCCGGTATTCCGTTTGCGCAGCCGCCGATTGGCACACGCCGCTTCAAGTATGCCGAAGTCTGGGATGCGACCAATGTGACTTACGTCAATGCAACACAATACAGCCCAGCCTGTCTGCAATTTGGGTACTTTGATGGAAATAGCTATGGCTTGAACCCTTGGGGTAATGACGAAGACTGTCTGTACTTAAATGTATATACCCCCTTTCTTCCGGGCGATGCGGACGTGCCCGAGGATCAGCTGAAGCCTGTTCTCTTCTGGATCCACGGCGGCGGCTTCTCCCAGGGCACCGGCTCAGACCTAACCTTCGATGGAGGAAGTCTAACTTCACGCTCTGATGTGGTCATTGTCACGTCGAACTATCGACTGAATATATTCGGGTACTTATCACTCGATGATGGGACCATCCCTGGAAACTACTGGATGTCTGATAATATCGCTGCTCTCCAATGGGTGCAAAAATATATACGCGGGTTCGGGGGAAATCCAAAGAATGTCACCATTTTCGGACAGTCAGCTGGTGGTGCCAACTGCATCGAGCTCGTCGCTTCTCCACAGGCTGCTGGTCTTTTTCAGGGTAGTATACAACAGTCGGCAGGCAACGGTCGCTTTAGCACACAGAGCGCAATAGCTGAGCTAGCTGAGCCATACCTCAGCCCGTACTGCAACGACACCGGAGCTGCCCGCCTAGCCTGTCTGCAGCGACTGCCTGCTTCAGTGCTCCTCAACGCCAGTGCCGACATATTCTTCACTCCAGTCATCGACAATGTGTACCTACCAGATGCACCTATGGCACTGATCGCCCAAGGAAGCTCTTACATCAATTCCGTACGAATGATGTCCACCCTGATGCCCGAGGAGACTCAATCGCTGACCACCACCACGCTGACGCCTAATATGACCGACTTTCAAACCGCACTTGACCTGCTCATCCCAGGAGGCTGGATCAATGAAAAACAGGCTGACCACATCATCCCCTCAGGCCTGTGGCTGATTAGCAACGAGACCTTCCACAACGGGTCGACTTCCTACTCCAGCGTATACAACGCTAGTATCAAGATATCCACCGAAAACAACCAAGAATGTCCGAATGGCGCCTACGCCATGGTAGGTGCCGCCACGGTCGCTTTCCCCAGCATGCACGTCGCCTATCATCAGCGCGGATACGCTCTCTCTTATTACGACTTTTACGACCTGTGTACGTTCCCTGTCGGAAAGCCGAACACACCTTATTATCGGTGCCACTCAAGTGACTTGTATGAGGTATTCGGGACCTACTACATTTTTGATCAGCCGATCCGGGTTCCTGAGGATATTTACTACACCAATGCGGTGCAGGACATGTGGGGTTGGTTTGCGCGAACGGGTAATCCCAATGTAGAGAGGGAGTATCTAATAGCGCGCGGGTACAACACCACCATACAATTCTTTGCAGATTGGTTTTGGCCCGAATTTACGGCGTCGAATATGGTCCTGGCTGATTTGCAATATCCGCGGCCGGGGTATACGGATGTGCCCGATCTGGAGCATTGTAGGTATTTAGCTAGTGTGCAATATTGACCAGCGGAAAGTCACATGTCCATACAATAAACAATATGTATCTCGACAAGGCATGCGGTTCGCTGTGAAACGAGCTGTGGCTCCTGGCAGGCTATAGGAAATGTTCGAAGTTAGTGTTAGCTTCAGCTGGGCAATTGCAGAGATTTCCCATAAGTGATTTAAGCTCAAACAGGCTGATGAGGCGAGAACAGCTCCTTGTTGTGCTTTGATGTTGTAGTTCCTGGGTTCGCGGAGTGTCTAGTGCGAATATTACAACTTCAAGGCCGTGCTGGGCACTCTTGGCCTAGAGTAGTAGTTCGCAGCACAAGTGAGGTACACTACTCCAAGGTGCAGCCGTCATGCTCGTTAGCAGCCTATCAAATTGAACCACATCTTAGCTATCCCTGTACACTCCACTCTAACAAACGCCCAAGCAATTGGGGGGGGGGGGGAGGACGAGGGAATTTGATACTTTTGGAGATAGCTGAGTTGTTGGCATATTCCCGCCCGTAGCAGGCATTGCACTCGACGGATTTGTCTTCTTCTTGTCCTGTCCAACCCCAGTGTCTCAACCTACTATATCACCCAATGAAGACAACACCATCATGACATCCTATACATAGCAGCGCATGATAGCGTGGGATACCCAATCCTATGTTTCATCTTCGACGATCAACGTGAGAATATAGTGATAATAGAAGCATCGGTTAATAATTTGACAGACATTCATCGGCTTGTGCGCCTTCTATTCAGCCGTACGGCTGATATTTCCATCACTGCAGGTGTAATTGCTGCTGCTGCACGCAACCCCCGAGGGCTCGAAATTATACAGCTTCTGTACCAGCATCAGGAGTATTTACCAATCTCTGAACATGCAGTCCGAAAGGAAGCCCGAAATGAAGGTGGACGCGATATCCTTGGTATGTTTTATCAACATCAAGACAGCCTACCAGTCTCTGTACAAGCAGTCGGAAATGCAGCCAGAGATGAACGTGCACTTGATATCCTTCGTATTCTTTTACCTGTATCAAGACAACTTACCACTATCTGGAAAGGTGATTGAAGAAGCAGTAGCACAAAAGCACGGGGTTAAACTTCTGCAGCTTTTCTTTGAACAACAAAAATGTCCACCAAATGGTACACATCTATTGATGAGGGCAGCCTTCTCTCCACAGGGTCTTGAACTATTAGAACTTCTGGAGCACCACAATTCAGAGCTCAGGTACCCTTGGGAGATGGCTAGGGGCGTGTGTATGAAAGGAATGGGCTTTGGGGATAATTAAAAAGGTTGTTGATAGAGCAGTTCAATCTCAGATCTGCTCCAAGTGTTTGAGACTCCTTTGTAAATTCAAGAGAACACAATATTAAAGGGCAATGACATAGTTCATAGCAATGGGAGCTTGTGCAACCTGGATATGATGTCTTACCCTTGAAATTGGCGGGCGAGAAGGGGGGGTAATAATATCGTAGAAGTGGCTAAGGCTTACCTATCTCGACCAAATTAGTGTAGTTCCCAAAGTTATCAATTACTCTAGTATCAAGAACAAGACCATGTGAATGCTGCGTGAAAATGAAGAGGAAGAGAGCGAGTGACTACGTCGCCCATGGGGACGAGAGTGAGACAAGCCACAAGATGAATCGATATGTAAGAGATGGAATGTGACTTCTTTTTATCAGGAAATCAAGATTGCGTGTCTCAATGCCACTGGTAAATGTTCTTCAGTCGCATCATGTTCACCCAGAAATGTCATCAGTTGCGTTACTCAAGCCGCTATAGTACTGTTTATCGCTATAAATTTATAAATATGGCCAGAAATCACATCTAAACAGAAATCATCTCTCGACGCATCCATCCTCCCTACAAATCGAAGATATACTATGCCCCCTTCAATAACGCACCCCCATCACTTCCAACTCTCTGCCCTGTTACGAACCCATCCTTCATGCACCAAACATATGCCTCGGCGACATCCTCCGGCCTCCCCACCTCCCCTGTCAACGTCCCCTTCCTGAAAGCCTCTAGATATGCTTCCCTCGCAGGGCCCAGCCTCTCAAACATCTCCGTCTCAACAGCACCTGGGGCAACCACATTCACCCTTATGGGTGCCAACTCCACCGCCAAACCACTAGTCAAGCCCTGAAGCGCTGATCCCACTGCTGCACCACCCACCGCCAACCCTGCCGCTGGTCTTGCGGCCATTAACCCCGAGGTAAAGCTTATTGAGGAGGTATGATTATCAACCAAGTATGTCTTTGCATGTTTGCCCATTACCATCGGGACATGTAGCCGGAGGGTGCTCAAGGCTGCGAAACTGGATGCGTTAATCTCGGGAGAGGAGATGGGGATCCGCGGGGGCGGGGTGCCGGCCGTGTAGATTACATGGTTTAGCAAAACTCGTTCAGTGCTGTCATTATTTGTGGTGGGAGACGCGGTTTTAGGAAACAGAGAACGTGATGTAGCGTAGTCGAGAAGGTCAAGAAGGTTCTTTTCCAGGGTGGCTTGATCGCCTAGGTCGCAGGGTTTGCCAGTGATGCGGTCGGTGTAGACATTGTTGGGATAGAGAGCTTGGAGACGAGAGATAGTAGAGGACACTTTCTGGGGGTTTGAGCTGGATATGATGATGCTGGCGCCGTGTTCCAGGGCTGCACGGGCAACGGCAAAGCCGATGCCGGAGGTGCCTCCGATTATCAAGACTCGGGTGTTGGCGAGCTTGTTGATGGATATGAGGCTGGGGGTGGACATTTTGCTGTATGGTGCAAATCCATTGACTCGACTAGATGCATATGATGTATATCAATAGCAGAGAGTTATATATGCCATGAATGTATGACAGGCATGTCGGCGGGACTCGGGCTCTTTTTCGCGGAGCTTGTGTGAGACCGGGACGTGGTACGAACTGCAGAGTAACCCCATTACCTTGATTTTCTGCTGATAGGGGAGTAATCCCCTGAATATCGAGTGTTTTTACTTTCTACATGACGCGGGAATGGGGTGGGTGAACCGCAGTTCATTTGTTCAACTTAGCAAATGCCGATCGGGCTGTCTCTTTCCTCAGGAATCTGTGATGGTCAACCATATCACAAGGTGAATTCTCGCTGGAATTTATTACATAGACAGATGGCCAGTTACAAAGAAGGCAAATAACCTGCCTCAGTGAATTAATGTTCCTGGAACGAGCGGAAGGCGCATCCCTTAGTACTTTATCTAATCAGGCGCCAAGTGGTGTTTAGACTCTGTGCTGACGAGGCTGACAAGGCTGAGGGCGGGATGACAGTGAGGACTTATCAGAAACAGCGACTAGGCATTGTCAAAACCAAGCTCTCTAGTAAACTCTTCCCACTTGCGACTTCCCCTCATGTTGTCCACCTTTGATGCCGTCCCCAATCGATCTGGGTCGTCTGGCTCCTCGTCATCCACATCCACCTTGACGCCATGGCCTTCCCGGCGCAACCATGTCTCGAGGGCCTGCAACTGGTGCCGCGTCCTGCGCATCAAGTGCGACAGCAACATGCCATGCCGTAACTGTCGCAGCCGTGGACGATCCTGCACCAAGAAGCGCTCAGTCGAGCCTCGGACCCTGCCGCATGCCATAATGTTGTTGTCCATGCACCCCTCCTCCGGATCTTGGTTGTTGCATTTGTCGATTAGAGAAGAGGCTAACATTACGTACAGGGAGATTGAGCGGCTTCGTCAACGGGTGCACCAACTGGAGCAGAGATTGGCCAGTCAAAACCCCCAAGCAAAGTCCCCAAGCAGTAACAGAGTAAGCTGGGAAGGGATTCTCACCCGCAGCGGCCACTCGTCCCAAGCCCAGTGGTACGGACTTTCCTCTGCCTTTTATTTTATCGGTCGCATGAATGCCTATCTAGGCGCGGTTCTCGGACAACCCCAGGATGAGCGTCAGCTGCAGCCCAACTCCGCCAGTCGCACCTTCACCAATCCCATCTCCGCCCAACGAGATACCACCGATGGTTTACCGGCACCAGGGATCGCCGACAATCTGGAGTCGGGCAACTACTTGACCGGCATGCAGGAAGATTACTTTCTAGACCTCTTCTGGCAGTCATACCACCCAACATATCAGATACTCGACGAGAGGGATTTTCGAGAACACTATAGGTCTTTGTGGGCCGAGTCATCCACACGTCGACAATCCTCCGCCCTGGTCGACATTATCCTAGCGCTCTGTATGCAGTACGGGCTTGCCTGTGCACCTCGTGGAGAGGGATCTTCTGTTTCTCACCCTGGCAGCGTGGACGTTAACGACGCAAGCATCGCGGGGCGACAATACTATCGCCGGTCGCAGACACTGCTAATGTCGGAGCTGGAAAGTCCATCCATCGCCACCTTGCAATGCCATATTTTCTCTGTCGTCTACTTGTGTAATGCTTCGTTTCAGAACATGGCTCATACCACATTAGCGCTAGCAGTGCGCACCGCCCATATTCTCGGGCTGCACCTGGACCCACCTGAGGACTTGCCACGCCCCCAGCAGGAGCTGCGCAGACGGATCTGGTGGACCTTGTATACGGTTGAGAGCAAAACTTGCATGAAGCTTGGTCGCCCATGGTCGGCACCGGATGTGGTCGCATCATGCCAGCTTCCCTCTCACGGTCATGAGCTGGCACGGCTGTCAGGGACCAACATCGCCTCGTACGGAGGAAATGTTACCTGGCTGACATACAGTCATCTCACCTCCACCCTGATTCTGGCAGCACAGACAGTCTACCGAGCCTTCTACAACACCTGCAGCGAAATCATGGCTACGCACAAAGTGAAGAATTTGTATGCAAATTTGGACGCCCTCGAGGCTGCGGCAAAGTCACTCATTCCTCCAATCAAGAATCTGCATGACTGGGTGCAAGATGTGCCCATCGCGATGAAGACCAAACGAAAAGATGCAGGGGAGCCCTTCTCGACCGATCGGTCGGCCCTAGAGCTGGAACGGTTTGCACCAATGTGGTTACAGCGACAAAGAATCCTGCTGGAGCTGTTGTATCACAATCAGTGTATGAATTTCTACCGGCCGTTCATAACTTTCCCATCCACCGCCCATCTTAGCGTTGCCGAAGCATCTATTGTGTCGCCCTCTACTAGCACGCCTACGGCCGAAGACCACGCCGTCTCATGTCTCAACCATGCCATGACGATCACACAGATTTTGCGCCAAATACTCACCAGAACCGACATTCTCAGTGGCTGGTACGAGGCCTACCAATGGCAGTGGAACGCCACCCTGGCACTGGTCGGATTCTTGCTGGCATTTCCACTGCACCCGGCTACCCAGTCGGCCCGTACATCCATAGATGTTGCCGTTGCGGTGCTGGAGATGTTTGGAAGGAATTTTGCGGTCGCCGCCAGCGCCGCCAATGTTGCGCGAGGATTGACCGCGAAAGCAGACATCCTCATCGCCCGCTTCACCACGATGCCTGTTTCAGACCCGGGGGTAGTTGATAATCTAGTGCTGCCGGACTCGCCGTCAGCCATGTTTCCAAATACGCTGGCTGGTGCCATGGGGCTGACTTATGATGTGGATTCGTTTTACAGCTTTGAGCCTCTCTACGCGGGATCGCAAGATTTTGCCAACGCGTGGGTGTTCGGTCAGGATTAAGATACTATCCTTAGGGCAAACAGACAATTTCTGGAATGTTCATATGCTCATCTATATTTGTCTTTCTATTGCCATTATAAAGAGATTTTAGTATTCAATTTTCATTCGCGAGACCCCCTTCTCAATGCCACACATTTCCCTTATTACATAGTCAAAACCGCGCGAAAGCGGACAGTTCCCTTCTTCATACTCTCTATAGGTTCTACCAGTTAATCTTAGATCTTCGAAGCTATTATCGGCCTGACTTACCCAACGCTTCATTAGCCCTTTCTAGAGGAAATTCCTCCACCATACAATTGATCCCCTGCAGCTCCGCAAACGCAATCGCATCCTCAGTATCAGTCGCATGACCACACGGCCACACCTGTACCGAAATACCATATTTCAACTATTAGCTCGTTAGCATCCCATCACACTGTCCCACAGAACTAACACAAAATCCTCACCATAACCCCCGAATCCACCGAAACCGGCCCCGGCACTACATCCCCAAATCAATCAGCTCAGCCCATTAACTCACCCCATCAAATTCGAAAAGAAAACCGATAGTCTTACCAGAGAGCATCACCAACTTCCCCAAAATCCCCAGCCCCTTTAACAACGGCGGCATAACCTCTGCCGACGGAACCGTCGACACAATCAACGACGCACCCCCTAGCTTCTTCAGTGCAGCACCAGGATCAACCTTACTAGCATCAATGTACTCATGTGCGCCCAGCTCGCGCACAAACTTCTCCTTTTGTCTGTCTCGCGAGATGGCAATAACCCTGTATCCCATCCGCGCAGCATACTGAATAGCCAAGTGACCTAGACCACCTAGTCCATGAACAGCGACGGTCTCTCCCGGGGAGATGTTCTGGTGACGGATGGAGTTGAATACGGCTACTCCAGCGCAGAGGATCGGGGCGTATTTGCTCGCTGGGAGGTGGGGTGGGATACGGACGGCCGCTTCGGCGTTGAGGAGGCAGTATTCTGCATCTATTGGGAATTAAAGAGATGATCATGTGGTAAGGGATGGGTGGAGAGGGATGCGTACACCCGCCATTTTTAGTTTCGCCGTTTACGATGGCGTTGTCGCACATTTGGTACCAGCCTTTACGGCAGGCGTGGCATGTTCCTAAGTGGTTGTTACAGGACAATTTGAAGCTGTTGAATGGGGGGGATGGACGTACCATCGTGGCCACCATGCCAGGCACCACCTACGCGCTGTCCAATGGCCCAGTTAGAGACGTTGTCGCCAAGAGCAGCGATGCGGCCAATGATTTCGTGGCCGGGGACAAGAGGGCTGCTCATAGCTAAGTATTAGCTTAGGCACAGTGCTCAACATAAGTAAGATATGACAACAAGGGCACATACAACCCCCCACCCATGATATTATTCTGCGCAAAGGTATCCGAGTAACAGACACCACATGCTTCCACCTTGACTAGAAGCTCTGCTGGCCCGGGCTGAAACATAGGCACTTCTTCAATGACCAGTGGCGCACCGGCTGATTTGAACGCGGCCTGCTTGAAAGTTTGTGGAAGAGTCATCGCTGCTTTTTCGTACTCTCTATGTCTGATATGAGTGTGTTACTTGATACTAACATGAACTATTCAAAGGTTACAATAGGGCATCTTTATAGCCTACACCCATTCATGCCCAGCTTGATCCCACCGGTCTTTACGCGGGGATAGGATATAGAAAGGGCATCATGAAGTAAGCTTCGTGGACTTTGATTGGCGTAGCCTTGAAGGATGCGAGGTTCCGGAGATGCTGAAAGGAGAAGCGGGAGTTATAGTGTAGGGACCAATTGGAGTGGGACTTGCTGATGCTGACATCAGCTTCGTCTACGCTGGTCTCAACCCGATCGTTCAAATCTAAGATTTTCATAATCGGAAACCCACCTTGTACTATTCGTGACGAGGTTGGTTTTGTGAGGCTGGACGGCCCCTTCCAGAACTGATGGGTGTGTTCATCCGCTATCGCCAAAGCCAACCTAGAAGCTAAACAGGGTGGAACATCAAAGCGGATGTGCATTGCTGATATACAATTGACCAATCCCGTCGCCCGGAAGGTCCGGAAGACTTCCCAATCTGGTAATCCGGAATGCACCAGGTCTGACACCAAGTCAATGACTCGGATAACTCCACTCTGACGGTGATCTGGAGCACGCATTGAGCTGGTTGCCCATCTTACAGACCCTGAGACATTCTGCTCGACAGCGGGGGTAATTGAGCCTATAGAGACGGCCAAGTTCGAGACTCTTCGGCTCCGTATGAGGTTATCTCCGGTCTGATTGCATAGATCATTGGAATCTGAGTATTCTTTCCGGCACTCGCGGTGCTCCTCGTCTACAGCCCATGAGCCAGTGAGTACATCAGACGTCAGACCACTCATTGTAGGTCACTTATGTACTCTAAGCAATGAACGAAGCAATATAAAGTACCTACCAAGTCATTCTTACTTATTTCCCTCCTGCAACATGCTAATCAACCCCCACACCTTCCCCTCTACCTCCCCAACAGCCCTATCCAACCTCTCCTTTCTTTCCATATCCACCTTCCCGCTCCCCTCCCCAGCATAAATCCCCGCCAACCCCGCCAACGGCAACACCATCACCATCGTCGCACTCCCATCCTCTTCCTCCACGAACCCACAATCTAGGGGTACATGCGTGCCTGCATATATACTCTCTTTGATCATCGCCGCAGCCAGGAGCGGGTTGCCAAAGAGGAAGCGATGGACACGTCGACCTGTTCCTGATTCAGATCCCTCGGATGGTGGTAGGAAGTGGTGTAGCCACGACCCGTGGTCGAATTCAGCAAAACATACGAAGTCGGATGGTGTATTCGTGGACTTGATTAGATCGGTTACTGCTTCGGCATTGGGTTGGGTGCGGAGGATGCCCGGGGGTTGGAGTGCGGGGACAAGGGCGCGGAAACGGTCGAGGATTTTGGGGTAGGGGGTGGGAAAGTGGACGGTTATGTGGTTAGCTCTGAAGGTTGAGATGCTTGAGACTTCGGGCAAGGATACTGGTGTGGTTGACATGATGAGTCGTGATGAGGTTAGTGGCAGTGAGATGATAAGGTTGCATTATTGAGGGGAAATGGAGAAGGATTCACACGTGATTGGCTTGGATATTGTACAGGAGTGTGGCGCTCAGCTGATTTTGTGAAAGTCTGCCTAGAATATTTATTCAAGCGCTATATTACCCCAGCCGAATTGCTGGTATACTAATGACAGTGACTGGCCTCGAATCAAATCGCTTGCTGTTACCATCGGATCTGGTGCGTATGACCTATTCAAGCATATGTCAGTACACAGCCCTGGAATCTCTACGTCTACTCACTGCATGACAATCCATTATCTACGTCACAATGTTTATCCTATGAACTATTCAAATTCAATTGACAAGCCGCGTACTCCCTGCTAAACTTTGACAGTGTCACAGTCGTGTTCCGGGTATTGTCCTGACGATCGTTGGCGGGTCCAAATTTCGGGCACCCGCAGTCCCACCGTGCCAGATCTTATCATTTTCCTGAATATCGGAGATAGCGGCTAGAAATGGCCAGATATAGAGAAAGAAACCCAATTAGCATCAGCGATGCTTGTACCACTGGAAGATGGATAGTTAACTATCGGCTTGGGATTCCTTTTGCGGGCAACAAGACCGAGCCTGCCGCGACGACACATTTAGCTTCTGCACGGCTGGTGGAGGTGGAAGCGTGTGGACTAATCTGATTCGGTGAAAGATCTGCGTGTCCCTTATTACTTAGACGCTCTCTTGTAGCGCCATAGTGTTTGAGCTGTCTGCTTCCGCTGGTGTTGATGCTAACGGGTTTCAATTTACGATCAGATAGTGCCTCGTCATGGAGTGCGTAAAGATGCCCACTTTGTTCCTGTTTCGAAGTAGATTATTGTACCTGCATAGGGCAGGGCCACGTATTACCTTTAACCTTAATTAAGGAGGTCGCTTATACTATAATCCTAATAAAATTGCGAAGTGTATATAACCTTCGAGATCGTCCTCTCCTTCGTTTTAATGCTCCACGCGCTTTCTGAGCCATCGACCAATTCCCTCCTTCTTTCAATCTTCCTCGTTAGTACTACCCGCTAAACAATGAGAGTTCACCCGTCCTTCCTAGGCACTCTTGCCTTCAGCGCAAGCACCCTAGCATCCGCCGAGCTCAACGTCCGCACGGTCTACCAATTCGCCTCCAACGACACCTGGCTCGAGAACCTAGCCGTCCGATCTAATGGCCTCATCCTCGCAACCGAGATCGGGCCCCCAGCAAGCCTCCTCTCCTTCGACCCGCGCTCCTCATCCCCAAAGAAGAACGTCATCCACACCTTCTCCAGCGTCCTCGGCCTCTCCGGCATCACCGAAGCAGCCCACGACGTCTTCTACGTAACCGGCGCCAACACCACCAGCGACAACATCTCGGATCCTCCCAAAAACGCCACGCACATCTGGCGCGTCGACTTCACCACCAACCCCGACACCCCAGACATCAAGCTCATCGCCCGCCCCACCGCACCAACCGGCTTCAACGGCCTAGCGGCCTTCAACGAGACCATCATCCTCGCCTCAGCCTCGTACCAGGACTCCATCTTCGCCATCGACACAACGACCGGGTATACCTGGGAAGCCATCAAAGATGCGAACCTGATGAGCAGCATCAACGGACTCAAGGTTCAAGATGATTACGTCTACTGGACTGCAAACGGTGGCCTTTACAGAGCAGAGCTCTACTCGAATGTGACTGCTGGTCCTGGAGAACTTATTGTCCAATCTACTGCCTTTGACGATTTTGCTGTTGCGCCGGATGGGTTCCGTGCTGCGAGTGGAAGGAAGTTTGCGTATGCGGCTACGGCGGCGATGAATACGATCATGCAGATTAGCTTTGACTTGCAGGGTGGGAGGAACCTGACAAGTGTTATTGCCGGCAGTTTGGATTCTACGGAGGTTGCGGAGCCGACGGGGTGTGCGTTTGGGAGAGGCGAGGGCGAGATGGATTGGTTGTATGTTACCACTGGTGGTGCGAGTGCGGTGAATGTGGATGTGGATGGGGTGGAGGTTGCTGTTGGGGCGCAGTTGTTGGGTATTAAGCTCAATTGAGTGGCATAGTAGTTGACAGGTGGAAATCGGCGTGAAGTAGGGGCAGTAGAGGGTCATTGTGGTGCAGAAGAAGGACCGAGCAGAAAAATATGTAGGGTGAAAGTACTATCGTTGTCTCAGTATTATGGGAGCTAGATGTGTACGGCGGGCAATATGTGTTGTAAAATAGGTTTCGAGCAGGCCATAATATATTGTCCGTACTACCTGCACTCTTTTGCCTGCTCAGTGCTCAATGAGAGAAACCGATGGCTAGAGATACAATCGACACGCCAGTCAGTTATTGTGTGCGGAGATTGGAATCGGTAAGACAGTAGACAAAAAGAGATAGACACCAACGAACGGGAGAATTGTCTTGTTTCTACCACAATTAATTGCTCTTCGAATTTTCCAGCAGCAAAAAGTTGCTGGAGCAGAAGATGCGATGAATAGAAAAATGCAAAAAGAGATGGTCCCAGAGGGGCTCGAACCCTCGACTTTGACGTTATTAGCGTCACGCTCTAACCAACTGAGCTATGGGACCCGGTTGTTGAAAGCGGCCTCCTCAATGGGATAGAAGAGGCCTCAGAGTGCCCACCGTCCACAAGTGGAGTAGTGGCAGAAAAACCAGTCCCGACCGCCCTTATCACCGCTCCAAGCGGCAGAACATAGTCGACCTCGTCCAAAAAACCTCGGATTTAAGCGGAGTTAAGTATATACAGCCCCGGAATGGTGCTGTGGATTTCTGTGTAAATCTTGACCGCCCTGGGGGAATGCGGCAGAAATTGGTCGCTGATCCTCGTTCTCTAGTACAACACGTGCTGTTCTCGTATCTCCAAATCAGTTTCTCTCTTCGCCATGCCACATAGATAATTGTTTTCTTGGTGCTTTTTCTTCTTGACACATTTAGACAATTTGCAGTGATTGCGGGCAATGACTCCGCAGTACAGTGCTACCAATCAACCCGAACCATCTTTGATATATATTTCTCAAACTACATCCATTAACAGTACATAGGGGCCCGAAGGGCCACATAGTAAGGATAGTAGTACATTTAATAATATTTAATAATAATATATTACTATTATTTACTATTATTATCCATAATTACTTATTCTTATTTACTATTATTGTATAGTTTAGTAATAGTTATATATAATAATAATTAATTATTTATATATTATAAAAAGATTATTTACTGTTATTCTCAGATAAATTTTATTTTAAATTAATAAATCTTATTTAAACTGGGTAATTATACCTTACTATTATAAAATTATATACTGTTTGATAATATTTATTAGATTTTATTAATAAAATAAATAATCTTTTATTTAATATTTTATATATTAATAATATCTGTTACTCACAGTCAGAAAAAATATTATAAGATTAAATAATATATATAAATTATAAATATCCCTGATTTATTAATTATATTATTTATATAATAATATATTCTTATAATTAAGAATCTTGAAAATTATATAAAATTATATTAAGAATAATAAAGAACTGAATTATAATAATTATATAAAATTAATATTTTATAAATAATATATTAAATCCAGTCTATTACTACTAGTTAATAATTATCTAAAATTATTATATATATCTATTATAAATATTTATTTAATTTTATTTTATAATTCTAATAATAACCAATTCTCTGAAGAATGGTAGTAAGAGAATATTATTATTTAATTTAAATTATTAGTGTTAGGGGTCACCCCTTGGTTCCAAGAGTACGTCGCCTGTTGGACAAGAAGAAATAGCTATTATTCAGAACAGGATCTCAGAGCTCCTGAGGTTTTGTATATTATATTTAATTAATAAATAATAATAAGACTAGTTAACTAAATTCTTTAGTAAGAACTTATTCTGTAATATTATTCTTCTTCTCTAGTAAGATAATAATATAGAGACTGGTGTATTTATAAACTAGAATACTTTAAATTTAGATTTCTAGCTAATTTATTCTATTATAGTCTTATATTCTATTCTAGTTCTTAATTTTTTTATTTATATTTTTATTTTTAATACTTAGTTTTTGGGTTTTATACTGTTCCTGCTTTTTTTATTTCTAGATATCTGATATTTATAGATTTTTTTTTTCTATACTTTAATCTTAATTATATATTTAATATAATTTTTCTTATTATTTTAAGCAGGAATCTTTTTTTTAATATAAACTTATCTGATTAATTTATTAATTAGATAATTAATTTAGATCTTTATAAAAAAAGATTTTTTTTTTTTTTTTTCTCTTTTTTTTTCTTTTTTTTATTTATAAATAAAGTGG